TCAGATCTGGTTTAATTTAGAAACTCGTGTGCATTACAATAAAAAACTTTTTCCTAGTGACATGTGAAAAAACAAACCATCACTATTTTTATATAACTTATAGGTCTTTTCAGGAAAAAAGAGTCTGAATAGTGGAGTTTGGGTCCACCAAATATTCAGTTTCACTTAAACAGCTGTTTTTAAATTGATCTGTTTCACACCTGAGATGAATCTGAGCACTTTAAAGGGGAAGCAGCATCTGCTGAAGTGTTGTTTTGTTTGATGTATGCTAGGACTTCAAATGCGGGGTTTGCACACCAGAAAAAAAGGATACTAGACGCCAGGTTACTGCCTTTCTCAGACTTTCCTACTGAATAATTTCTGTGTTTATTATGTGTAATTTAATACTTATTGGGAGAAAAATAGAGAAATATTCTAGTCTTGTGATTTTCCATGTAATTGTGATTTTGGGAGCGGGGGAGTGGGCAGCAAGACAAGGAGGTTGTTCTTATTTAAATTTTAATTAATAAAAATCAAGATAATGTAAGTCCAACTTCTTCTCTCATTTACTTTGGTGTAGAGCTAGCCTAATGAGATGAAATAGCTTATGCCAGTATAACACTTCATGTCATGTTGAGAAAGATGCATCCAGGAGGAAAATATCTTCTGTACCCATTTTCACTCTTCACTGTATGTTGTTCATACATTAATCTGTGTGGTTTTCTGCTCAGTCTGGCAAATCAGTATGTCTGAGTCTCCCAATAAAGCTTGTTTCTACAGCTAATCTACTAATTTAATAAGACAAAATGCATGCTACAAATTCCTGTCTTTTCTTCCACACTCAGGAAGAAGAAAATGAATGAGTAACATCTGATCTGAATGAAAACCACTTACCTATGGATGCTGCATGAAATAGAGGCTTGGAGAGAGACAGGGAAAAGAGTTTACATCACCTACCTTAGATTATTACTATAAGACCAGTAGACTTCTTAGCGAGTCAAAGATTCCTTGTGAGGGCAAAACAAACAGGAACCTAACAGAGGTTCTGTGAATCATCATTTGAAAAAACCTAGAGAGGACTGCTGACCCTCCAAGACACTCATTTCCTATCTGGGACTTAGACTTACTAGTCTAAAAGTCAGGCAGTGTGAATATCCCTAAATATTCTGTCATCTTTGTATATCCAACCTTCAAGTTGTAATCAATTTTTCTTTCTTTCATTCTATTTTTACTGCTCTGCTAAAATTACAGAAGCACCAACCTGGAGTGCATCCAATAGCCATTTCTCCTCATGGAAAATAAAAACTGACCAATAGCCAACAGGAAAATGGAGTGATGGAAACTGGACAAAGGAACCTTTTCTGTATGGGCTTTGATAATTCTGATTTCCTCTCCTTTTCAGGCCAGTGAGAATGGGGCTACAAAACTATCCACTTCTCGCTTAAATCACCTCTGTCATGGTACTGCATGTGTACGATCCCTCTTTCCATTTCATATAACAAAAATCTTCTCATATTCACTTTCAAAGCCTATCCTCGATGTTCCTTCATTCTTTCTCCGCATGAATAATCTATGAAGCTATTGATGCCCTGCACTTACACACTTCCATTAATGCTGACCTTGACGTCCAACATATATTTTCTTCCTTTCATGGGAGAAGTTCCTTGGGTCAATTCAGTGTCTTTGCTTGGGGTATATGCAATCTTTATAAACCTTTAAATCTCCTCCAAAGCTGTACCTATTTTGCATTTGAAGCCCACTTGCAATTATCTATTTTGTTGTGACTTATCCTGATAGTTTCACTATCACATTTCAGCTATTGCTTTTCTATTGACACTTGCTTTATATGTATGTAAAGATCACACAGCAATTTTTTCTTACATGTAAAATGTTTTTTAACAGGTCCTGGAACACAAGGTGGGCACATTTGGTACAAGGTTTTCTTTCATATAGTTTGAAGGAAGCTATGGAAATTTAAGAAAATTAAGAAACAAGATCTTACTTTGCTTGGCCAGTCAACAGCTTTCTACTTTAAGTGGTGCATAGTAAAATCTGTATCTGTATTCTCCAAAGATTGTCCAGGAAGATAACCCTGTTGAACTGAACACAATCCAAAAGTATTCTGAAGTCAGCAGCAAGTCTCTGCTTGACTTCTCTAAAAGCAAACTTTCACCCAGAGAGAGAGAGAGAACATATATTAGAATGCTTCTCATTTCTTCATTCTGAACTAGTTGGGCTGGAGATAGAGAGAGGATAGACAAAATCCATTAAGTGTATTGAGGAAGATTCATGTTGTCTAGAATCTTTCTACCCATTATTATGCTGGCAGTTTCAAAAAGGTGTCAATTTTCTGTGCCAAAATATGGGACTAAAACTACAAATCCTCTTTTGGATTCATGAGAAGAGAAACTATTTATTTGTGATTCATGATGAAAATATACCTTATATACGAGTATAAAAGTAGCTGGTTTTGTGTTGCATAGAAAATAGCCTTATAAATATCTCTTACATTGAATTGCTTATAGTTCTCATGCTTTATATGCAGGATAAGCCCTGGGTTTGAAGTGTGTTTATTATTTAAAGGCTTGTTTTGATATATCAAGGTCTCTTCCATTCCTCCTGATCATCCTTTCCTTTGAAGGTTCACTACCTGATTGAAATGAGAATTTCCATCCACTGCATCAAACAAGTAATGATCTCTCCTGAAAGGTTTTGTATTTAATGGCACCGTGTGTGATGGGAGAAGGGAAAGGAGGGAAATTTTTTTTCCCCAACCTCCCTGGTCATCTTGTTCTGTGTAATAATGTTGAATCTACCATATTATGAATAGCAGAACTAATGTAACCTTGGTGTATCTCTAATAAATAGAATTCAAGCCCAGGTAATAAATGGGCTGTATATTAAAGGCAGAATGAGAAGCCCGTAAGGGAAGGCAATGCACCCAGTAAGGTGAAATACCTTTATCTCATCCATCACTATAGTTCTTCACTATACAAACTTTAAACCATAGAAGGAGACAAGAAAATACGAATGTTAAAACACATTTTGTATATTAGGTACAAATTAATACCTTTCCAGTATTAGCTCCTGGACTCAGATGCCTTCCCGGAGGGGCTTCATTCTGATTTCTGTTGTTACTACCAGTAATTTGTGCATGTTAGCAAGCCATATGCAATACAACTTCCTGAAAAACTAATTAGAAAATATTTTGTTTTCTTATTTTCCTGGGAGTTCTCAAATTTTAAAAGCAAACCTTGTAATAACATCCATTTACATAGTAAATCACTGAGCATCCATTGAACTCAATAGAGTTTGGTTTGTTGCAGCAAATAAGGATGTCTCTCTCCCCTTTTTGAATTTCCAGTCAAGTAGCTTAGTGCTACTATAGGTTTGACAAATATACTGCGGAGACAAATCACGGTCACCATCTTGGCTACTCTGAAACAATGGAGTTTTCTAGAATTCAGCTAAAACAGTGGTGCTAGGTAGAACCAGGCACAGTAACAAGGGGCAATGACCAAACTGTGGCTTGTAAGCTTCAGGGTGGAGATTAGGAAAAAGCACTTCCCCTGGAAAACAAATGCATCTCTGGAACAGGGTGTCTGGACAAGCTGTGATATCTCCATCTTTGCCTGACTCAAGATTACTGAGTCTGTAAAAGTACTGCTTTTGATTCAGAATATTTGACAAAGCCTTTGATCTAAAAATTTAATCATTTTTTTATCATATTGGATGACATTTCCTTTATTATTATCCCTAAATCCGTCATGAAGCATTGTTATATAAACATTTAAAAAGGTTAATAGGTGGGCACATCCCTGACTAGTGTAGCCAGCAACAAAAGGTTTTGATGTCCTGAATTCACAAGAGATCTCTCCCACTGAAATATGATGAAATGAGCAAACAATGCTTTCAAGCTTCCTAAACAGTCAGGCTTTTGCTGTTAATATCAAAGAACTTGACTAAGTTCCTTTAAGCTCTCTCTTCTGGTGTTTTTGCCACCAACTTTGTAGTGATTCTACATGAGAAAAATCATTAAATCTCATGCATTGTAATTTCCAGTTTCTGCTTTAAATCTTGTTACGATTCTTCCCTAAGATTTGATGCTTTCATATTGTATCAGCACCTATTGGCTTCAGGTAAAGCCAGGTCCTACTTTACTTCACCAGTATGTGTTGTAAGAGGCCATCCCTGTTCCAGAGACATTATAATTACACAAGAGATGAAAACTGTGGGAGGGGAAATGTAGGGAGTACGAGAGAATTTCATGATTATCAGAATGGGTCATAAAGCTAGCCATATCTTTATTCATTAAACTACACTTCACCCATTGTGTAAAAAGGTCTATCTAAGAAATATAAGACTAATTAATTAGAAAGTTGTAACAAAAAAGTGAAAGGACTAGCCACAGGGAGGCAAAGGAAAAAGGATACCAGTCAGGCCAGCTATGTCTTTCAGGGTAATCATTAAAATAAAGTAGATTGTTAACTGCTGTTTCACATTCTGTGGTGTTCTTAAAACAATGTGCTGTTCTTTACTTCTTTCCTCTAACCTGGTATATTACTTCTTTGTTTGTTTAATGACACCACACATGTACTTAAGAAAATTGCACACCAAGGATCTGATTTATTGCTTCAGATTCTATTTGCATGAAAAAAACAACACCAGAGCAGTATTTGACAGGTATGTATCAATTCAACTCCTAAGGGGTATATTTTGAGTCAATTGTGCGAGGAATTAGGCATGCAGTTACAACATTTATTTAAATTTGTGAGCATTTAGTACTTCTCCTCAGGAAATAGAGTTACAAACAGACTGACTGGTTTCAAGTACATTACAAGTACAACTTGAACATCCTGACCCACCCAAAGTCCTGCCATTTCAATCTGTATATCCCAAATTATTTCAGTTACACTTAATTTATATCTTGGTTCTGTCAGTTCCTAGCCACTGACAAAAATTATTCCAGATTGCCTAGGGCTAGTCCAACCAGCATGAGTTCATTATCAAAAGAATGATACCTGCCTGTTCCTCTGCATGTCATCTTCAAAGTACATCTGGACGTTCATCTAGAAAAAAGTTTTCGGAAGAAAAACTTTCGTTTGTTACAAAGGCAAAGATACAACTCAGAGGATTTAGTGTTCTACTGAACATTTCTTTTCTGTGTTAGTATAATGGATATAAATGCATTTCATTCAGAAATCAGCTATGAGGACAATCTAATTGACTTAAAACTGTTATGGTGCCTGCCCACTAGCTGGCAGAAAGAGAAAAAAATATTTACAAAAGGAGGAATAATTATTTCATACTTATGGTTACAGCTGATTGGGAATTTGCCAGCAAAAGAAGGTTGAAATAAAATATTAATTTGTCATTACCATCTGCTCCTCAAAGTCCTAATCCTTTGTGAACAATGATGCATTAAGTCTTAAAATACCCACATTATTCAGATAGCTGTTCATTAGCCTGTTTTATAGAGGCACAGTTTTGTGCTGTCCATTTGCATAAACATGAATTTAATGCTATGGAAACACCTCTGGGTCAGACTTTTAGGTGGCCAATTCCCACATATTATCTGTGGCACATGAGCCTCTAAATTGCTGTTCAGCAGCACAGGAAACAGCTGCTTTGTAGGTCGGGCTTTTAAAACAGTCTTTGGACATTGGTTGGCAGAGACACATGCTGCTATAAGTGATATACCCAGGAAAGAAAAAGAAGCGGAAAGTCCTGAGGACGCCAGCTGAAGAATCTGACCTAATATATTTCAATGCATGAGGAAAATTGCTCTTTCTTCCTTAGAGAAGTGGCTGAGTAATGAATGAAGCATGTATTCATACAGAGAATACCAGCATGAAAGATTATGAAATAATGCACCATGGATAATTTACAAGAAGGAAGAAGGAATGCATACAAATAGATAAAGCATCAAGTTAAGGCAGGAGATTTAGGCCTTAATACCAGACCCAGCCCTCCAACCATGAGCGACACTTTGGTTAAGTTACTAAAACTGTTTGTGCCATTTCTTCCTCTCTCTTCTTTTGTCTGCCTTTTCTATCTAGACACTAAGCTTGTTAAAGCGCAGACTGTATCTTTCGTGCTCACACAATGTGTGGAACAATAACAGCCCCATGCTCAGCTGGAACTTTTAGACAGTACCATAATAGAACTAATTAATGGTAATGAGATCTATGGAGTACTGTACAGGCTGCCTTTTAAAGATATCCACGCTGGGTCAGAGCTGTGAGATTTCTCATGCACACAGTGAATCATATACCATTCTGCCAGTTTAAATTGCTACCACATAGACTGAGCAAGAAAAGCTTGCATAGCTAGTGGGTAGGGAGTATGACTTCTCCAGCATCAAAGCACATTGGGAAAATCCTACCAGCAATAGTGACTAGACAAACAGCTACCAGGACAAGCTAATTTACTTAAAACTATTGTAGTGCCTGCCCACTAGCTGGCAGAAACAGAAAAAAAAAATATTTATAAAAAGAGGAATAATTATTTCATACTCCTTGTAAGCAGAATATATTGATGATGGAAGCCTTCTTTTTGTGCTTTTTTTTTTTTGGTACCGTATTTGACCATACAATAATAAGACCAAATCATATTAGTAATAATTCTTGTGATAATATTAACAGCAATTCTTGTGGTAATAATAGCATATTAATAATATTGTTTACTTTTTCAGTTCAGTATAGATTGGGAGGTCCACGATTCTGTCATCTGCTTTCTTCAAGGGGGGAAAAATTCAACCCTTTTGCTTGGGAAGGGTCTTATTTTCTCTGAATTAGTTAATCACCATCAGCATCCAGTTTGAGCATTCATACATGGCTTTTCTAGGTATTCAGTGCAGTTATGTAGACCTAAGCTTGGCTACCTTTCTGCAGAGGTCTTCCTTGGAGCAGGTTAAGGGGACTGAATGGCTCAAATCTTGGCCTTTCTTATTTATCACAAGCCTGGTTGTTCTTCCAGTGTGTCACACATTAACCAGGGCAAGACAGGGAATAATCATGGACAACAGTTCAGGTGCCACAGTGAAGAGGAAGGTGCATAGAAAGAAAGGAATTAGCATAGTTTGAGTAGGGACACATTAGTCTTTCACATGGTCTCTCTCAAAAAAGTTGGACGGAGATTTTCCACTTTGGTTAGATGAATTCCAGCAGTGATGACTGTGGAAACACACAAAAGATTCATTGTTGTCATTGTTCTGCTGTTTGGGGTTTCATGGGATTTTTTTGCCTTTTTTTTAACAAGAAACAAACTTCAGCAAACCTGATACACAAACACTGCCAACTCCACTGCCACAATTGTGACAGTTTCTTGTGCATGTGCTAACTTGCTGCCAAAATAGTAAATGCAGCACACGCTAAGCCTGGCATATTTTTGCATTAAGTAAAGAAGTCATAGATGAACTTGGTTCCCACTTGGGCTGACTTTTTTTAATGAGGATTTCATGCAGAGAAAGATGACTAGTCGGGCACATTACCTCGACCCAGTTTCACCCATGGGGTTATATGCTTTATTTATTTTTAGTTTAACGGTAATGGATGAAACTGCAGTATTTGGGTGTGTTTATATCAGTGGCAAAAATGTTGCCAATTTTTTTTAATATCAAGAACTTCTTTCACTTTCCTGGGCAGCTATTATCTGTGTTCCATTTAGAATATCGCAGACTTATCTTAGCTCTTTTTTTATCTTTCCTCCTTTCTTAATGTATGATGAGTATGTTTGGAAGTGGTAGAAGATTTTCTTTTCTTTCTGAAAGGAGATATTGTCCTTATTCTGCTTGTCACTTGCTCTTCACCAGTCTTCAGTATTCTCACAACAGACATATGGTGGTAAAACTCTTCTATGAGAAGCCTTCTAGTCTCCATCTAGTTACCCATTTCAGTTGCAGTCACCACTGAATTTCTTCTGAACTGGTACTACAAGATGTTTTTCTACTGGAGGAGGAGAGGGTTACTTTTCTGATAATACTCTGATAGGAAATTATCCTTTATTCTTTCTAATTTATATCATTTTAAAGAAGACCACCTTCTCAGAAGTCATACTCAGTAATAGAAAATTGTGAAAGGTACTTTTAAAATTAATTTTGTTAAGAACCTTCTGCCTTGCCAGAAAAGAGTATGATGCCACTTGTATTACTATAATTCTAGTGACAAACAGGCCCAAAATATTAATATATATAAAATCATTCTTCGTAATCTCACCATATTCTTACTTTCCACACTAGCCTGCAGGTATGTTGTGCTATTCAGCTTTGAGTCTCAAGTTCACTTTTATTGTGGTGGAAAGCAGTGTGTCCTTCCATCCTTGTTTTCATCAGACTGGAAACTAGAGTAGATAAATAGCTCACTTTCAGCTATTGACTGTTCACATATATGAAGAAATTAAGTGCTATCAGTTGTTCTTTAGAGACTCCACAGTTACTGGAGCTTTTGACTGGTGTCTATTAACAATCTCATTTATCAGTTTGAGAAAAGAGGACAATAATAAAATACTCCAGTCTTGTTAAGGGAAAATAAAAAATTCAACAATGGAAAACCTTGCTTTTGAGAGAGAATTTTATGAACACTTGATTCTGCAATGTAACCAGTTTTGTATGAAACAATCTTTGTTTGAAGAGAGATTTTTCATTAAACCAACTGATGCATATGTTAAAATAGACACCACTTTGGAGAAGACAAGTTTGTGAAAAATCTGTTTTGAACAATTTAACCTCTGCTAATGTTCAGAGATCAGAACTTATAAAATTTTTTGTTTTCACTTCCAGTCACATTAAATAGACTTAGTTATTTTTTTCTCTAATTGCTAGATGACTCCCTTGTTCACATAAATAATGTGTGTGGGCCAAACACTCAGGAATTAAACTGAAAAATCATACCAGATATGACATTTTTGCTAATATTTCTTCTGAACTAAAATCACATTCACTTAAGGAGCTCTATGGGAAAAAAAGAAAAACATCAGTAATGTATTTTTGCTGGATTAATGACAAATTGACTAATGTGTTCTACCCACTTTGTGCTATTCCAATGACATTGCATAGCTTTAAATATGGTTTTAATAGCATTATTGAAGTGCTGTTGAACAACCAGTATGCACCAGCAAATCCATCCTTTCAAATATGATAGATTGTATAGGCTCATTTCATGTTTCTTATATCCAAATGAGATTAACACATAGTTTTGTTTAAATGTAGGATGAACATAAGGTTCAACTCTGTAGCTGTTATTCAGAAAAAGCTCTTTCCATGTTTACTGTTCAAGTGAGAACTACAGGAACAGGCCAGAAGGAATCATAAATCATAAATAAATGCATTTTTGTGCAGTTCACAATTCAGTTGATCCACATTTGTTGGCCATTGCTTCACAAGAAAGCAATAAAATAACCCAGAAATGTAGAGGGATGATGGGATGGACATTCTTCCATGAGATGCATTACATGTGATCCATGATCCATATCTGTGTGCAAATTACCACCAGTTATCACAAAGTAAACTAGAACATGAATTTACCTACTTTATTTCAAAGGCCACAAGACAACTCATTCTGAAGTCTCCTCTGCAGAACTGATTGAGAATAGTTTTGTATATTAAGTACATTGTTTTCACACTAATAAACCCTGCTTTACAATGAGTTGATATAAAATGTAAACGACATTTTTTACAACCACTAGTTAGTGCAATGTGTGTACAATTAGCAGCCTTTATGAATGCCCTTTTATACATTTATTAAAGAGTTCATAAAAATGCTGAGTCTCATGTATTTAATATTTTTTCCCCTTCTCTGCAATAAAGCACCTTAGTATGAGTAGGGAAAGAATGACAAGATGAAATGCTTTGCATCTCAGTCTGTCATTTAAATTCTGCAGGAGTTACTAGAAATGAATTTCTGGTACTTTAACAGAACTCAAGTGTTTCATAAGCCATAACAACACAATGGATTTGGTGATCACTTCAGAATAATCATGACACTGCTGCTCCTTCTGTAGCTTTAAAAGACCATTCAGATCTGTCCTGGGTTGAGTGAGTGGTGGAGTTTTTTGGTGGCAGGGGAGGGGG